GGGCTGCGGGGTGGGAGGACAGAACCAGAGTGGGGCGTGGCAGGTGCAGGACCCGAGGTGGGTCTTTGGGCATCAGGGAGTGGAGTGCAGGGAGGGTCCTCAGCTGGGGTCAGGGGCTGGGTGTCTGTGTTATGAGAGCACGAAGGGAGGAATGTGGGGGCTCCGCTCACCACAGGGTCGGGGGGGAGGGGCCAAGAAGGTCGGAGGAGGGGCCTGGACAAAGGTCAGGGGGTCCGATGCCTTCACTGGGTGGTGCAGGAGCATGTTCATTCAAAAGCACCCAGTCTGGCCCCTCTCCAGGGGCTCCCGGTGTGATGGGGGGAGGCAGACCCAGAAATAATAGTAGTATGGAACGGAATTAGTGTAAGCAAAGCGCTTAGCACATAGTACATGCTATGTAGGAGTTATTATTACCTCGAATTAGCCCGTACTATGTGCTGAGGGCTCTATATTCATTACATCCTCCCAATAACCCCATGGGGGATTGTAATTCCCATATACAAGATTGGGGTCACTGAAACTCGAAGAGATTAAATAACAGTCATCTACTTGATAAATATACCAGCTGCGAACAAAACAGACAAAAATCTCTGTCCTTACGGAGTTGACATGGAAGGCGGAGACAGATGATCAATAAGATAAATAAGTAAATTATGTGGCATAGATGGTGATAAGTGCTGAGGAGAAGAATGAAGTAGAGAAGGGATAAGGCGTACTGGAGTTTTGCAGCTTAAAATAGAGTGGTCAGGGCAGGTGACCGGAAGGAAGAGAGGGAGCCATGTGTGTACCTGCGGGAGGAGCAACTGGCAGAGGGGAGAGCAAGTGCAAAGGTCATGAGGTGGGAGGGAGTGTGCTTCACATGTTCCAGAAACAGTGAGGAGGTGACTGGAGCAGGGTGGCTAAGGCAAGAGTGGAGGAGAATGACAAGGGTCAGGCCATGGTGACGACTGTGGCTTTGAAAACTACGGGAGGGTTAGGTCTTCTAAAATCACAGCTAGTTAGTGACAGAGCCAATCTGTGTGACTCCAACCTGGTCATGCTCTCTACCATGAGGCACTACCTCTCCTACTAGTACCATGGGCCCCAGGATAATATAGATACAACAATTGTCACAGTAGCACGATTTGTAATATTTGTAACTGGAAACAGCCCACATGTCCACCAACACTAGAATGATCCATTAACATGGCATATGCATACAGCGGAATAGTAGTGTTGGGACCAGAAGTGGGGTGCTTGGAAATGAGTGGGACAGAGAGAAAAATGTGGGAAGGGGAAGCACAAATTCACTCCTGATGTTAATGGGATATATTATGTTGGGGATAGAGGCAGAGATGATAAGAACAAATTTGGGGAGCTAAGGAGGAGAGGAGGGTAATGGAATTGAATGAGAACATGGAGCTAAAGGGGCTGGTTTAGATCTGGGAACTGTCACTAGTTGTTGAAGGACTATGAATTAGGAAATCCAAGAAAGACAAGGAAGGGAGGGCCTGGGACTCCTGTCATGATCCCCTTTCTTTTCCCCACCTCAGGGGATGCTCTCCCTGGTCCTGAATTGCATTGACCGCCTAAATGTCTACACCACCGCTGCCCACTTTGCTGAATTTGCAGGGGAGGAGGCAGCTGAGTCCTGGAAAGAGATTGTGAATCTGCTCTATGAACTCTTGGGTAAGGGATCCCAGTTCTGATTTCCCCAAGAGCACCCCAGATCTCCAGTTCCACTGGGTCTGACCCCTCTGCCATCCTCAGCCTCTTTGATTCGTGGCAATCGTACCAACTGTGCCCTCTTCTCCACGAACTTGGATTGGCTGGTCAGCAAGCTGGATCGGCTGGAGGCCTCGTCTGGTAGGACAACCCAGGGGGACTGGAACAGAGGCTTGGGGGAGGGGAGGGCCACGGCCACCTTGCCTCTCACTCTGGCCCCTGGGCAGGCATCCTGGAGGTGCTGTACTGTGTCCTGATTGAGAGTCCAGAGGTCCTGAACATCATTCAGGAGAACCACATCAAGTCCATCATCTCCCTCCTAGACAAGCACGGGAGGAACCACAAGGTCGGCCCCTCACTCCTGACCTCTCGTCCCCAGAACTCTGAACCCTGACCTCTCCCCACGGCTCTGGAGCTCTACTCACTCACTCCTCTCACTCCCCTCTCTTCCCTCCTCCATCTCATCTCTTACCTGAACTTCATTCCCACATGCTTCCGTCTCAACACGAGGGTCTCAGACTCTTGGCTCCTAAATTGATTGTGGGCTACATGTGCGTTTTGTTAGATCTCTGACCTTGGTGTTATAACACTGTGCTCTAACCAACTGGGCTACCTGGCCAGCCCTCTGAAATGTTCTTAAAATTCTCAAATTTAACAGCTTTTAGGTGGGTTGCATATACACTCTGCGGTTTGCTACAGGTCCTGCAGTCCTCACCACTTCACACATTTACATTATCCACCCAGCCTCTGAAGACACAAGTCTTTAACCCCTGCTGACCTGAAATTTCATCTCGATTCCTGTTTGTCACTGACCCTTTCACTCTGCACTCTGACCTCTTACCTCACCACTCCAATCTCTCCTTTCTCACGTTGCTGATGTCTTAACCCGACCCACGTGACTCCCAAGCCTCTCCACGGACCTTCTTCTTTGACCCCTGACACCCCTGACCTCCCACATTCACCACCTCCTCTCACCTAAAATGTCCATATCCTGTCCTGATGCACTATCCTTTCCTTCTGGCTTCCTATCCTGGTTGTTCCATAGACCCCTGCCCTGGTGCCCTCACACCCCTTGACCTCTGACCTTGACCTCCAGGTTCTGGATGTGCTGTGTTCCCTGTGTGTATGCAATGGCGTGGCCGTGCGCTCCAACCAAGATCTCATTACTGAGAACTTGCTCCCTGGCCGTGAGCTCCTGCTGCAGACAAACCTCATCAACTATGTCACCAGGTCTGGCTCCTAAACCTGACCCCCCAGAACTCAGAACCTCTCAGCCCTCTCCCTGATCCAGAGACTCCACACCCAATTGGATGTCCCTCCCACCATCTCCCTCCCAGAATGGACACTCGGTCCTCACAGATGTCCACTCTTGCACCAGCTCACCCTCGGTCCCACTCCTCTTGTTCTCTCTTCCTGGCTCCATTTCTGCCTCTGTCTCCCACTCCTGTCTTTCCTTCTGTGTTTTCTCTTTTTGTCTTTGACTGTTTCTGTCTCTGTCTCTCTCCCATCTTTCTCTTCTCTGTCCTCTGATGTCTCTCTGTCTCTCCTTCTCCACATCCCCCTCCCCATCCTGGCTCTCCTCTCCATCTCCTTCATCCTCCTCTCCTGTCCTGTCTGCCTGTCTCCCACTCCTGTCTTTCCTTCTGTGTTTTCTCTTTTTGTCTTTGCCTGTTTCTGTCTCTGTCTCTCTCCCATCTTTCTCTTCTCTGTCCTCTGATGTCTCTCTGTCTCTCCTTCTCCGCATCCCCCTCCCCATCCTGGCTCTCCTCTCCATCTCCTTCATCCTCCTCTCCTGTCCTGTCTCTCCCACAGCATCCGCCCCAACATCTTTGTGGGCCGAGCAGAGGGCACCACCCAGTACAGCAAATGGTACTTTGAGGTGATGGTGGACGAGGTGGCTCCATTTCTGACAGCACAGGCCACCCACCTGCGGGTGGGCTGGGCCCTCACTGAGGGCTACAGCCCCTACCCTGGGGGCGGCGAGGGCTGGGGCGGCAACGGGGTCGGCGATGACCTCTATTCCTACGGATTTGATGGGCTGCATCTCTGGACAGGTACCTGGACCTTTCCAGGGGACCCTCACCCCTGACCATTGACCCCAGAGTTTCCAAGACTCTGACCACACACCTTGGGGTTCTTGGGATCCTGACTCCCAGAAGAGACCAACTTTTGACCCCTTATTCCTCATTTTCTGAGACCCTAAACCTAGAGCTTCCAGAATCCTGGTCCTGATCTGCTTCCTCATAATCTCCAGAGCTCTAACCCCAGAGGAGGTATGACCTCTGACCCTAGAGATCCCGTTAGACTGCCCAGATTATTATGACCTCTGATCTTTGACTTCTGAAGGTTCCATAATCTTAACTCTAGGAGGATTTTAATCTCTGACCCCACAGCTCTCAGGATCCTAACCTCAGGGGAAACCTGACCTCTGCCCCTAATTTCAGAGCTAAAGAACCATCCATGGGAGCACTTGCCCTTAGTTTCCAGAATCCAGTCCCCACAGGATCCTCCAATATCTATCCCTTGTGACTTGATATCATTGGTTCCATGGGATCTCTGACCTCTGACTCCTCCCTGGTGACCCCGGTGCAGGACACGTAGCACGTCCGGTGACTTCCCCAGGGCAGCACCTTCTGGCCCCTGAGGATGTGGTCAGCTGCTGCCTGGATCTCAGTGTGCCATCCATCTCCTTCCGCATCAACGGCTGTCCTGTGCAGGGCGTCTTTGAAGCCTTCAACCTTGATGGGCTCTTCTTCCCTGTCGTGAGCTTCTCAGCTGGTGTCAAGTGAGGACTGCCCCTGCCCTGTGGTCAGCCCTCAGACCTGGAACTGACCCAAGACAGCTTCCACAATCACTCCATGTTTTCCTGTGAGGCCAGGACACAGCAGCCTACCCACAGGATTGACTGGTGGCCAGAAACCCCACGTGAAGGTCCCAGTGACCTCTGCATGATCCCAGACTCTCCCAATGACCTCAGATTCTCCCCAACTCCATGCCCTTCCTATGACCTTGTAATGACCCCAGACTGTCCTAGTGATTTTTCAACGACCCAAGACATTTCTGGTGACCTTCCAATGACCTCAGACTCTCCCAATGACTCCATAATCTTCTAATAACCTCCCAATAATGCCAGCATCTCCCAGTGACCTTTCAATAGGACTGGACTTGCCCAGTAACACCCCTCTTCCATAACCCTAGTCATTGCTTTCTTTTAAAAAAGATTTTGGTGGCTGGCTGGGACAGGGCTTGAACCCTGGACCTTGGTGTTATCAGGACCACACTGTAACCAACAGCGCTAACCCACCAGATCCCAGTCATTTCAAAGACGTCTTAATGACCCAGTCCTTTCCCAATGACCCCAAGCTCACTGAATGTTCATTCAGTGACAATTGTGGTTATCTCATAATTACAACAAACTCTCAGTGACTTCTAAATGACTTTCTCCTTGGTCTCCCCAAAACTTCCAATATCCCCAAATGCTGTTGACCTGGGGTCTCCTCCAAAGGACCTCGCAATAATCTGAACTCTTCTGTAATAACTGCAGACCCTCCCACTTTTAACTCCCCCATGACCCCATACTGTCCTTTTTGAGTCTCCAATGACATTCCCTTATGTATTCTTTTGACCCTAGGCTTTCCTTTCTGACTCCCAAATGACCTCCGTGACACTGTGAACCTTCCACAGATCCCAGGACTGCTCCTTTGTCTCCCACTGACCACCGACTCTCCCCTGTAGCCCCAGTCTCACTACCACCAATGATCCCCATTCTCCTCTCCCAGGGTGCGGTTCCTCCTTGGTGGCCGCCATGGTGAATTCAAGTTCCTCCCCCCACCTGGCTATGCTCCATGCCATGAGGCTGTGCTCCCTCGAGAGCGACTCCATCTTGAGCCCATCAAGGAGTATCGACGGGAGGGGCCCCGGGGACCCCACCTGGTGGGCCCCAGTCGTTGCCTCTCACACACCGACTTTGTGCCCTATCCTGTGGACACCGTCCAGGTACTGCCTGCCCTGCAAGGATTTTTGGTGAGGCAGGCTCTTTTGGGAGTCAGAGAGGTGGGGGGAGGAGAGCAGGAAGGGGGGAAACCTTATGTTTAACAGATGGAGAAACTGAGGCACGGAGAAGGCAAAGGATTCTCTCAAGGCAGAATTCCAGTTTCAGGGAGTCCACACTATGGCCCCATAAAGAAAGGCCTGTTATGGCTTCTGATTTACAGTTGAGGAAAGTGAGGCCCAGAGAAGTTAGCCACCTGTGCAAGTCACGCAGCTGATGGGAACCGCGGTGTACGGTCCTGAAGCCTGTGCTCTTACCCACTACAAGTTGTTGGGCACCTCCTCTATACCAGGCCTCTCTGTACTCTGCGCTCCCCACTCTCCCTCCAAGCGTGTCCCTGTGGGGGGAATATGTGTTGTGTTTTAGAGCCTGAGAACGAGGGTTTGATTTTCAGCCATGCAACCCTGGGCCCCTGACTTCACCTCCATTACCTAGGTCTCCTCATCGGTGAGGAGAAGGGGACAGTAACAGGACCTGTCCCCTAGCATTACTGTGAAGATTAGATAGTCAATGTATGCAAAGTGCTCAGCGCAGTCCTGAGTACACAGTACGCACTCAGTGCAGTGACTGGTATTAGCAGCAGCAGTGATGTCATCGCCCCGTCCCCTGCCGCCGGGCCAGAGCCCTGGGCCGCCTCCTGGATGCCTCCCTCACCCAGCCCCTCAGCCCGCCAGCCCCACTCGGCCCTCTGGACATCCCTCCCACCCCTCCTCTCCTCATGGCCCACCCTGGTCCAAACCATTATTATCTCTCGCCTGCAGAACACCAACACCACCAGTATTTACTGGGCACTTTCTGTGTACCAGGCATTTTTATAAACTGTATACCATCCAGTAGTTTACATACTGAGTCCTTGTGAGTTAAGTATTATTACGATTCTCATCAAACAGAGAAGGAAAGAGACATCCATTCATTCGCCAAACATTTCCTGAGTATCTCCTTTGCGTCTGGGTCTGGCTCTGGGCTGCACAGGGATGGGAGTACTTGGGGGAGACAGAGGCAGCCCCAGGCCCTGCCCTCACGGAGCTCCCAGTCCACAGGGATAGACAGACTTATTCCAGATAATTCCTTAATTCTAATGATGCTAAGTCCTTACTCACCTGGGCGTCAATCCCAGAGTCAAGGCAAGGGATGGGGAACAGGGCTGTGGAATATCAGGAAAGTGGGCTCTGGGGGAACCTGTCCAGGCTCATGCATGTTCTTGGGAAGAAGGGTCAAGGTGGAGGTGGGTGGAGGGTCCCAGAGACCTCAAGAATGTCCCTCTGCTCCCAGATTGTCCTGCCCCCCCACCTGGAGCGCATTAGGGAGAAGCTGGCGGAGAACATCCACGAACTGTGGGCGCTGACCCGCATCGAGCAGGGCTGGACCTACGGCCCGGTGAGGCTGCCCGCGGTGTGCGGGAGGCAGGCTGCGCGTGCTGCGGCAGGAGCGCGGGCAGCTCACGGGCGGGAGGGGCCGTGTTGCGGGAGGACTTCAGGGCACCAGGGGGGCCTTGGACCGCAGGTGGCGGAACTAAGTGTTGAAGGTCAGGGGTCACGGTCGGGGAGTTCTGGGGCGAGTGAAGGGGAACCCGAGGAGGAGTTGATCCCGGGTTTTCTCCAGGTTCGGGATGACAACAAGAGGCTGCACCCGTGTCTTGTGGACTTCCACAGCCTGCCAGAGCCCGAGAGGAATTACAACCTGCAGATGTCGGGGGAGACGCTCAAGTGAGGGGGATCCACGGAACTAAGTGTTGAAGGTCAGGGGTCACGGTCGGGGAGTTCTGGGGCGAGTGAAGGGGAACCCGAGGAGGAGTTGATCCCGGGTTTTCTCCAGGTTCGGGATGACAACAAGAGGCTGCACCCGTGTCTTGTGGACTTCCACAGCCTGCCAGAGCCCGAGAGGAATTACAACCTGCAGATGTCGGGGGAGACGCTCAAGTGAGGGGGATCCAGGGCAGCAGGGGCTGGGGCCGACGGCAGGTGGGGAGGAGGGCAAGGAGAGACAGAGGGAGTGAGACAGGGACTGACAGACAGAAGAATGGGGGGCAGGGACTGTGAGACAGACTGACAGGTGGAAAGAGAGGGACCTTCAACAAGAGAAAGGCAGGCATGGAAAGGGAGACGCAGAACGTAACAGAGAAAGCAGCACACAGGAAAACATGAACATGGAGAAACAGAGGCAGAAACTGCAAAGGACAGGAGCCAGAGACCAAGACTGCAAGGGAGGGGACAGAGCCACCTAGACAGCCAGAGCAGGAGATGTAGAGAGCCGAGCCCCAGAGACCGAGATGACAGAGGCTGAGGGGAGGAGGGGCCAGGAGAGCTCTGTGGGGCATAACCCTGGCCCCTGCTGCCCCGTCCATCCTCCAGGACTCTGCTGGCGCTGGGCTGCCATGTGGGCATGGCAGACGAGAAGGCGGAGGACAACCTGAAGAAGACGAAACTCCCCAAGACGTGAGTGTGGGCATCCCGGTTCTGCCTGGGGAAGGCGGGGTCTGGTACGGTTGAGGGGTCTGCTGGGGAGGCTGAGGGAAGAGACAAAGGGGCGACGAGTCAGGGTGAAGGTTGTAGGGTCAAGGCTCTGGAGTCAGAGGTGAGTGTCCAGCATTGAGGAGTAAAAAGTTCCAGAAAGAGAGTGGGAGTGAATCTGAGATCCAGGGTCAGGGTCAGGGTCTGCCGTGGAGTCAGGGAAAATGAGAAAGCAGAGGTGACATTTCCATGTTAGAAGCAAGGGGTTGAGGGTAAAAGGTGAGAACGTAGAGGTTGCTGCAGTTGTAAGTAAGGAATCCTAAACTTATAGGTGAGAGATTAGGGGTCCTGAGTTCAGAGGTCTCCAAAACCAGGAGTTTGGGAGTGATTTGGTCTAGGGTCAGAAGTAAGAAACCTCAAAGGTAGAGGTGAGAGGTCAGAGAGTGCTAGGGTCAAAGATAAGCCTCCCAAAATCAAAATGAAAAGGTCACAGAGGGGCCGGCCCGTGGCTCACTCAGGAGAGTGCAGTGCTGACAACACCAAGGCCACGGGTTCGGATCCCATATAGGGATGGCCGGTTCGCTCACTGGCTGAGCGTGGTGCTGACAACACCAAGTCAAGGGTTAAGATCCCCTTACCGGTCATCTTTTAAAAAAAGAAAAAAAAGAAAAGGTCACAGAGGCCAGAAGTCAGTGATGTCAAAGGCCTTGCTAGGGTCACAGGATCCTGAAGTCAGAGGTCAGGGATCTCGAAGCTTTTTCTAGGGAGTCATAGCACTGTGATATTAGAAATATCAGAAATTGCCAAGCTGAAGACTAAGGAGCATGGGATCCTGGAGACAAGGAGCAGAAGTCAGGGATCCCAGGGCACAGGCCCAGAAGTGGAGGTGAGGGCCTCGTCCCACCGCGCCTGCTGCACCGCAGGTATATGATGAGCAACGGGTACAAGCCGGCCCCGCTGGACCTGAGCCACGTGCGCCTGACGCCTGCGCAGACAACGCTGGTGGACCGGCTGGCAGAGAATGGGCACAATGTGTGGGCACGTGACCGTGTGGCCCAAGGCTGGAGCTACAGCGCTGTGCAGGACATCCCTGCACGCCGAAACCCTCGCCTCGTGCCCTACCGCCTACTGGATGAGGCCACCAAGCGCAGCAACCGGGACAGCCTCTGCCAGGCCGTGCGTACCCTGCTGGGCTACGGCTATAACATTGAGCCGCCTGACCAGGAGCCCAGTAAGTGCTGATCCCTGCCCCTGACTCTGACTCCTACCCTGGCCCCCATCCTGACCCCTGATCTCTGACCTGACTCAGCCCCTTAATGGGCTGCATCCATAATATCAAGTGAGCGCTGACCTCCTCTCAACTCTGACCCTACCCTGACCCCAGCTCTGACCACTGCCCTTGACCTGACTCACCCTTTCCTGGGCTATGGCTACAACACCGAGCCGCCAGACCAAGAGCCCAATGAGTGCTAACCCCAACCTCTGAATCTGATTCCTGACCTCCACCTTTGACCCCTAACCCCTGATCTCTGGACGATAGCTATAACATGGAGCCACCCACCCAAAGGCTAGGAGGACCCTTAACCCCAACCCCTAACATGACCCCTAACCTATCACTGGTTCCCAATCCCCTGACTCTGACCCCCTGATTCTACACTTAACCTTTGATTGTAAACATTGACCTTAATCTTGACCCTTAACCCCAGACCATAACCCTGACCAGTTCACTGACTCAACTTTCTCCCTCTATGTCTCTGTCAGTATCTCTGTTCTCTGAGAGCTCTGACTGCTAATGAGATGGGGGTCTCTCTCAATAGAGCCTTCCTACCTCTCTCTGACTAGTTTGAGGTTCCCAATTCTCCTCTAACACCAAGAAATTTTCCCTCTTCCCCCTGTCCCAAGACCCTTACCTTCTCTGGTCTCTCCACCAACCTCTTGATGTCTTGGGATCCACTTCTTGCCCAGCCTCTCTGACTCTGCCTGGCCTCATTTGTAGGTCAGGTGGAGAGCCAGTCTCGTTGGGACCGAGTGCGCATCTTCCGGGCAGAGAAATCCTATGCAGTGCAGAGTGGCCGCTGGTACTTCGAGTTTGAGGCAGTCACCACGGGCGAGATGCGAGTGGGCTGGGCGAGGCCCGAGCTGCGGCCTGACATAGAGCTGGGAGCCGATGAGCTGGCCTATGTCTTCAATGGGCACCGTGTGGGTACCTCCCTGGGCTACCCTTTTCCAGGTCTTGTGGTCCCTCCCACAGCCCATACACTCTAGTCCTGCCTGTCTGTGCCTCCCTCTGTCCATCCATCCGTGCATCTACCATACCACTCATCAATCCATCCATCCATCCCTCATCTATCATCCGTCCATCCATCCATCCGTCTAACCATCCATCCACCCAGCCACCCACTTGTCTGTCTATACATCTACGTATACTTTCTTCCTTCCCTGCATCAACACATGTAGACTCAACTTCCCACCCGTTCTTCCATCCAGCCATACACCCAACTTCTCATCCATCCATCTTATCATCCACCCATCTATTCTGGAGCCATAATGTGCATAAATGGGTCTGTATGGGCAACACTGATGGGCTCGTTTTTCCTTTCCATCCCTCTGCTTGCTGTCGTTTCCAGTCCCCCACTTCTGCTCTGGTGGTCTGCATAAACACAGACATGGGAACAGCAGAGAACCCAGGCAGAAGGGATGAGACGCAGAGATTAATGGGGAGAAAAACTCCAGGGATCATGGATGCAAATGTGGGGAAAGATGGGGGATACTGTGGTGTGGCCCCTCTTCTGTCCCACATGCCCGAACCTGATGCTTTGCATGTGTGTCTTCACATGTCTCTCTCTCCCAGCTTCCATATCTCTCCATTTCTCAACCTGTCTCTCTACTGTCTTCTCTGGCCGTCCTCACAGGGCCAGCGCTGGCACTTGGGCAGTGAGCCATTCGGGCGCCCCTGGCAGTCAGGCGATGTCGTTGGCTGTATGATTGACCTCACAGAGAACACCATTATCTTCACCCTCAATGGCGAGGTCCTCATGTCTGACTCAGGCTCTGAAACAGCCTTCCGGGAGATTGAGATTGGGGATGGTGAGGGCCGAGACCCCTTCACATGCCCTTTTTGGTTTTCTTTCATCTCACCTAACCCGACACTGCCCTCTCCCTCTGGCTCTCCCATCCCTTCCACAGTACCTCCTCCCCAGGCTGCCCCTGCCCTGCCCGCCTACCCTCACCCTTGTCCATCCACCCCTCCCACCAGGCTTCCTGCCCGTCTGCAGCTTGGGACCTGGCCAGGTGGGTCACCTGAACTTGGGCCAGGATGTGAGCTCCCTCCGGTTCTTTGCCATCTGCGGCCTCCAGGAAGGCTTTGAGCCATTCGCCATCAACATGCAGCGCCCGGTCACCACCTGGTTCAGCAAAAGCCTTCCCCAGTTTCAGGCTGTGCCCCTGGAACACCCCCACTATGAGGTGAGAACCAATTCCACTCGGTGCCTTCTGATCTGCCTCCAGACTCTTCCCAGTATTCTCTTCCCTCAGTTTCTCCTTTCCTTCTGTGTTAGCACACAAACTGTGTAGAGAGGGATGTCAGGATATTGGGCTCCCAAGGCTGCCTTTTAGGGTATATCTTTGGTAAACCCCAACATTTCTGAGTTCCAGGTGCCTCACCTATAAAATGGGGGAAAGGGGCTTGTCGGTTAGCTCAGTTGGTCAGAGTGCAGTGTTACAATGCCAAGATCCTGGGGCTGGATCCCTACACCGGACAGCCACCAAAAAAATAAGCAAACAAAAAATAAAATAAAATAAAATAAAATGGGGGATGGAAGAAAAGAGAAGCTGTAGTAAGTGATCCCCGTGGAAATTTCCAGTCCTAGATCCTAGAACAAGGTTTAAAGAAATATAAACACCTGGGTACATTTTGGCACCTTCTTTACTAATTGTTATCTGTGTGTTGGGTGTTTTTGTTTTTGTTTATTTGTTTTTAATAGCTCTTCGTCAATCCAAACGTCTTAGGGTTTTGCTTTGTTTTGTTTTTGGTGGCTGGTCAGTATGGGGATCCAAACCCTTGACCCTGGCGTTACAACGCTGAGTTCTAATCAACTGAACCAACTGGCCGCCTAAAGCATCTTAATTTTTGGACTTTGGTGTCTTTCTTTCCCCAAGGTTAAACTCGAGGTCAGATCCTGACCACAAATACCCTATGTACACCAAAGTGATAGTCCTTTTCTCAGTCTGGGGAGAACTTGAACCCCACATGGCTAAGCTTCAACTGGCACTTTAGGTTCAGACAGACCTGGAGTTACCCTCTTACCTCTTGTGTGACCTTGGGCATATGACTGTCCCTGAGCCTCAGTGTTCCCATCCATGGCATTGTTAGGATACACACACACTCATTCTTTCTGTATATTTTTTCTAAATCATGTGAGGGTAAGTTGGAGACATTGTGCCTTTTTACCCCGAAACACTTGAATGTGCGTTTCTTCAGAATAAGGCTATGCTCTGACAAAACTGTAGTAAGGTTACAAAAATCAGGAAATTAGATCTTGGTACATGTTGTTACCTAATCCACAGTCCATATTAAAGTTTCATCCATTGGCGGCAATAATTTGTGTCCCTTTTTTTTCTGGTCCAGGATCCAATCCAGAATTACATGTTGCATTTATCTGTTACGTCTCTTTAGTCTCTGTGTATAGTGTTCCTGAGTCTTTCTTTTTCTTTCATAATGCTGACATTTTTTTTTTTTTTTTAAAGATGACCAGTAAGGGGATCTCAACCCTTGACTTGGTGTTGTCAAGTCTTTCTTTTTCTTTCATAATGCTGACTTTTTTTTTTTTTTTTTTAAAGATGACCGGTAAGGGGATCTCAACCCTTGACTTGGTGTTGTCAGCACCACGCTCAGCCAGTGAGCTAACCGGCCATCCCTATATGGGATCCGAACCCGTGGCCTTGGTGTTATCAGCACCGCACTCTCCCGAGTGAGCCACGGGCTGGCCCATGATGCTGACATTTTTGAAGAGCACAGGCCAGTTATTTTGTAGAATACCCCTCAGTTTGGGTTTGTCTGATGTTTCCTCGTGATTAGGTTCATATATGCATATTTTGCAGGAACATCACAGAACTGAGGTTGAGTCCTGTTTGGTTCATCATATGAAGTTGCTGTCTTATTACTGATTGTTAACTTTGACTATTTGATGTGGAGCCTGCCAGGTTTCTCCACTGTAAGGTTACTGTTTTTCCCTTTTGTAATTAATAAGTGATTTACGAGGAGTTATTTCAAGACTATGCAAAAATGAAAGGACTTTAAGTAGGGGAATGAGATCTGAGTTTTGGAAAGGTCCCTACTGGCGAGAGTAGAGGTAGAAAGACCAGAGAGGTGGCTGAGGCGGGACAAGATGGTGCAGTAGAAGTGAACTTCCTAACCCCTGCCAGTGCCAGATGATCTCAACCCAAGGAACAGAATGCTACACAGCAGTGCGCATGAACAAACTGAAATACACTCAACCACGTGTCGAGTGAGCCACGGGCTGGCCCATGATGCTGACATTTTTGAAGAGCACAGGCCAGTTATTTTGCAGAATACCCCTCAGTTTGGGTTTGTCTGATGTTTCCTCGTGATTAGGTTCATATATGCATANTACACAGCAGTGCGCATGAACAAACTGAAATACACTCAACCACGTGGAGGAATCTCACAGAAGTAATGTCAAATTAAAGAAGCCAAACAGAAAAGAGCACACGCTGTGGGGTCCAATTCATAGAGAGTTTGAGAACAGGTAAAGCTAATCCGTGGTGTGCTCAATCGGGAAGTTGGTTATTGTGAAAGAGTAACTCAGAGACGTTGTTAGTTATTTTGCACACGAGCCAGATGAAGGAGAACTGTCAGTAGACTGTCGTCAAGGAAGGAAGAGAGGGGAGAGGAGAGAAAAAGACTGCAGAGTTTAGGAACAGGCATCTGTCCCTCCATCGGCTCCTGCCCTTACTCAGGCCAGGTTGGTGCATTTCCCTCGACAGAGTCCCTCACTGTCTTTGACTGAAAGAGGCCACTGAAGGGGCTCCTGAGGGGCTTGGTCTTCTTCTGTTTTTCCATCTCTCTTTCTTTCTTTTTTTATTTTTTATTTTTTTTTAAAAAAGATGACCGGTAAGGGGATCCTAACCCTTGGCTTGGTGTTGTCAGCACCACGCTCAG